CCGAAGTCACAGACGCATCCAAAACGCAGGCGCGAGGGCTTCGAGCAGCCCCGCCGCCCCTGAGAACGCCGGAGCCCCTCCGCCTTCCTCCGGGGCGGGCCGCCGAGGGTTTTTTTTTTGGGGACCGGGGGTGACGGCAAGTTCCCGCCGCGTCGACACAGCGGCGGCGGCGGTGCGGGTGTTCAAGGCTGAGTGCCGCCAGGGGCCCCAGAATATCATAGCACGATCCGGCGATCGCAACGCCGCCGATTGCTCAAGGTTGAACGTTACACGGGGTGTCAGAGCCGGACGCCGGAGTCGTCACGTCATGGATCGGACCTGCCGTGCATCAGAGCGTGAATTACCTACCCCGCTTTCGCTTCCAGGCAAAACCAAGCCATGCCACGCGCCTCCTCGTCAAGCGGCCTGACCAGTACAGGCTGCAATTTGGCATCGTTTGGTATCTCTTGGAAGCGAGGGTGGTCAAACGCGAGGTAGGGTTGTTTACCCCCTAGTGCTGGCAGCCTCGATGCCTCGGGCAGAAAAAAGTGGATCCGACTGCGCCGTCACTTGCGCGCAAGATGCCCAGCGTCAGGTGGCGCGTAGGCGCCCTCGTCTCCAAGGTGGTGTGCCGCGCTGGCGGCCCGCGCAAGCTGCGGCGTGAGGTCGCTACGCCATCTCGCGTGAGGCCCATTTCTCGGGCCGGACGAAAGGGGGGCATTGGGAAAGGGGGGGTTACGAAATCTGCTGCATGCAGCTGGCTTCGGCCCCACCGAGGGCCCCATTCCTCGATACATGGCCGCCTCCCGGCGCCGGGAGGCGGCAGGAAAATCAGCTGCGTGAGCTGATTCTCAAACCCCCCCTTTGCTATCCCCCCCTTTCGCCCGGCCCGAATTTCCTCTCTGTCGCTCAGGTGCTTGCGGCAGCCCAGAGCCTCTACGTGGACGGCCTGAGACCGTTCGGCCGCATCCTGCGCAAGCGCATTGCCGAGCGGCTGCTGGCCGCAGGGTGGGGCGTGCAGGATGATGGGCGGCGATGGCGGCGGCGGCGTCGTCGGCGTCGTCGTCGTCTTCGTCGTCGTTGTCGTCGTCGTCTTTGTCGTCGTCGTCACTTGGAGTTTTGAGGTTTTCGGACGCTCTCGTCGGCTTTCGGCGATTTTCCAGTCTCGGGATGCCTTCCATCGGCAGCGCGTCGCCAGAGCGTTCCGGGGGTAGCCGAACCGTCCCGAACGGCCGCCGGAGGGCCGAGTTATGGCCCGAAAACCGTCGTCGTCGTCGTCGTCGTCGTCGTCGTCGTCGTCGTCGTCGTCGTCGTCGTCGTCGTCGTCGTCGTCGTCGTCGCTTGAAGGATTGATTGAGACGCTTCCGTTGGTTTTCGATGGTTGTCCAGCCTCGGGCTGCCTTCCGTCGGCTGCGCCCCGCCAGGAGCGTTGACGGGGTAGCCGAGTCATCCCGAACGGCCGCCAGAGAGCCGAGTGATGGCTCGACACCCCCATTTTCATCGTCGTCGTCGTCGTCGTCGTCGTCATCGTCGTTGTTGTCGTTGTCGTCGTTGCTGAAAGGTTTGAAGTTTTTGACTTTTCGTCGGTGTTCGGCGGTGTTCCAGTTTCGGGATGCCTTTCATCGGTTGCGGCTCGCCGAGGGCGTTCCAGGAGTGCCTGAATCGTATTGAACTGCCGCTGGAGAGCCGAGTTATTGCCCCAAACCGTGGTCCAGGGCTGGACCTAAACGGTGTTTTTGGTGATTCCTTGGGCCGTTTTCGTTTCGACTTCGTTTTGCAGTAAAGGTGGATTCGAGACAAAAGCGAGGGAAGACGAAAACAACACAAAAACGAAAAACACCGTTTAGGTTCAGCCCTGCCGTGGTCATCGTCATCGTCGTCGTCGTCGTCGTCGTCGTCGTTGCTGGAAGGTTTGAGGTTCTCGGACCTCTCGTCGGTGTTCGGCGGTGTTCCAGTCTCGGGATGCCTTTCATCGGTTGCGTCTCGCCGAGGGCGTTCCAAATGTGCCCGAATCGTCCTGAACGGCCGCTGGAGAGCCGAGTTATGACCCCAGACCGTCGTCATCGTCATCGTCGTCGTCGTCGTCGTCGTTGTAGGTGTCGTCGTAGGTGTCGTCGTCGTCGTCGTCGTCGTCGGCGTCGTCGTCGTCGTCGTCGTCGTGGTCGCCGTCGTCGGCGTAATCGTTGTCGTCACCATCGTCGTCGGCGTAATCGCTGTAATCGTCGTCGTCTTTGTCCGTCGTCGTGGTCGTCGTCGTCGGCGTAATCGCGGTAATCGTCGTCGTCGTCGTCGTCGTCGTCGTCGTCGTCGTCGTCGTCGTCGTCTCTGAGTGCTGTTGGCGTTTGCGGGGGTTCTGGTCGCTGCGGCGACGACGCGGCTCGCAGGACCTGCCGGGGTGGGCCTCGGTGGCAGAGGTTGGCCGACATATCGACTGGACGCTGGCGACGGCGGGGCGACGTCGGCGTCGGCGACGGCGACGGTGAAGGCGCCGCCGCCGCCGTCGTCTCGAGGCGTTGTTTTGTCGTGCCCTGGCGCTCTCGACGCCGCGGCCGGGGCAGCTCGGAGCAGCTGCCGCGGCAGCCTCGGCCCACGAGGGGGGCCCGCGGACCGAGTCCTCTGCGCTGGCCCCTTGGCCAGGCGGCGCCCTCGGGATGCCTCTCATCGGTTCGGTGGCGTCTCGCCGAGGGCGTTCCAGGGGCGCCCGAGTCGTCCTGAGCGGCCGCTGGAGCGCCGAGGTATGGCCCCCAAACCGTGGTCATCGTCGTCGTCGTCGTCGTCGTCGTCGTCGTCGTCGTCGTCGTCGTCGTAGGTGTCGTCGTAGGTGTCGTCATCGTCGTTGGCCCCATGGCCAGACGGCGACGCGGTGCGCGGCCCGCCGCCGCCGCCGCCGCCGCCGTCATGCCGCCGCCCGCTCGCGGCGCCGCCGCCGCGGGCCGTCGCCCTCGCCGCCTGCGCGGCGCGGCGTGCAGGACATCGACATGGCCTGCCTGCGCGCCGCCTGCGCGGCGTGCCCCTGGCTCCGGGTCGAGGACCGCGCCTCGGCTGCCGCCGTCCACGTTTGCCGCCCCCCGCCGTATATGTCGCCGCCGCCTCCGCCTGCTCGTCGTCTCTCGGCGGATTCCTGAGTTCTCTTGAGGCTCCTTGGGTGTGCCAAGGGCCTTCAAAAGGTTCCAGCCCTCCGCAGGCATGTTTTTTGGCGCACACGGGCGCTACGTCTGCTGCTCGGGCTATCTTGGACCACTTGGGCTATCTTGGGACCCCCGCGGACCGTCTCGGGACCCTCTTGGCCCGACTCGGGACCCTCTTGGGAGCCTTTTGGGCCGTCCTTGGGCGATCTTGGCTGTCTTGGGGTGATTTGGAAACCGAGAAGAGTGACGGAGAGCAAACCCCGGGGGGGGCAATTATCTGACAACTCGCGCAGCGCATGAGGGGAAGGCGGTGTCGGACAGGACCTGAGGACCCTCCACTCCATGTTTCGGGGCACGATGATGGATTTCTGCTCGTCGTCGTCGTCGTCGTCGTTTTTTTCCTCGTCTGTTGGAGCCTGTACTGTGTCATTTCATCTGCACGGATCCGCCTTTTCAGGATGCTTGGGCCACACCCTGCGGCACCCCCGCGGTGTATGATGCAGGCCATGACCATGTCCGTGTCAGGGGAGGCTCGGGAAAGCGACAAACAACGTTCCAAATTCTGCGGAACCCTGCGACAACCGACAGTCGGCGGCGTGCCCAGGGGGAAGTGAGAGGGGGCATGTCTTCTCAGAGGGCGGAGGGGCTTCTCAGGAGCCCTCGCGCCTTGAGAAGCCGCCTGTGGCTTCGGAGTACTTTGATGTTGAACTTCATTGGTTTTAGATTCGTAGGTTTTTTTTTTCACATTTGGTCGCGGCAACGGGGAGGGCGCGCGTTGCGACGCCAGTCGGGCGTGCTTTCCACTACCAAAGTAGGCTTACAAGACTTCTCAGAAGGCGCGAGGGCTTCTGAGGACCCCCGCCGCCTTTCGAGAAGGCCTGCTCCCTCTCGCTTCTCCCCTGGGGTTCGAGTAGTAGGGAATCGACAACATAATTGATGCACCCCAGAACTGATTCTCTCGCCGAGTCTGCAGACGAAGGCGCAGGATGCCCGTGGATCTGCGGGCAGTCCAATTACGTTCTTGACAGAATCAATCCCCTGGGGTTAAAATCAATGTTGCAGTCGAGCCCCCACTCGAGGGGCCGCCCCCGAGGACACGGAGGGCGGCGACTGGGCGGCGACCTTCGCCGGCTTCCCAGACACCTTCGTCGACATCTACAGCCCCGAGGCAGGGGCCGACCCAAACGGTGATCTGGCGACTCCGTGGGCCGCTCTCGCTTCGATCTCGCCTTTGCAGAGCGGAAGGCGGATGGAAAAGACGAGGCGAGGCAGGGAAACCGAGCGAAAACGAAGAGCACTGCGTTGGTCGAACCCTGCCCCGAGGACCCGTACCCGGCAGAGCTGTGGCAGAGCGCTGCGGCGTACTTCGAGTCTCTGGACGACGAGCACATGGCCCTCGGGAGGAGGAGAACGTACCCACACCGCCGCCCTTCGCCTTTTTTCCCCTTTTTGGGCCTCCTGGGAGGCCTTCGTCGCCACTGCCGGATTCGCCTCGAGGTTCTGGTCAGAGCGCACCCCGGGAGAGGTACGGAGAGTAGCGGTATCGGTACCCTTTGATTTCTCCAGGTTCTGCCCGGCGGCCGCTACTCGTGCGCCCAGGAGCTTCTGTCGCGCGGCTTGGGCTTCTTGTCGGGCTACTCCTTGGGGCAGGTCCCCTGGGCGGTTGGCGATCAGCTAAGAGGCCGCTGTCTTATTCCAGGGGATAACGGGCGTCATGGGGCGAGGGGAATTCTAGGCCTCCTAGATGGGGTCCGAGTAGATGGGGTCGGAGGTTCGCGCCGCGTCGCCGATGCATCGCCAATACGCCGCCGACGTCACCGATGCATCGATGATGCGTCCCCGATGCATCGCCGATGCATCGCCGATTCGGTATGTTCTTCCGACCCCATCTACTCGGACCCCATCCAGGAGGCGTCTGGAAATGGGGGATCCGGGATTGTAGCGTCACGGTTTGCCCCCCTGCGGGGGGTCTGGGAAGGCCTGCTTTATGTGTCACTTCCACACAGGGGCGCCGGCGCGAACCGCTATGCCTCCCGGGGGGCGGGGCGGCCGACAACGACCGTTGCCGCCAGGGGTCGAACAGTAGGCTTCCGACTCTCGCAGGGGCTGTAATGGGCCCGGCACCAACCTTTGGGCAATGCATCGACCCCAATCCCTGAGTTCCCCCTGAAAAAACTTGGCCGCTCAGGAAATCACCACCCTATCGAGGATGGGCGCCTCTAGCGCGCTCCGAGCGCCAAGGGGGGTGGGGGGTCCTGCGCCGATCTGGGGAGGAAGCCCTCCGACAGTTTTCTTGTTGGTAACATTGTAACATCCATCGTTTTTTCAGGATGGACAGGATGGAACTCCTGGGAGGCTACCTTCAGCATCGGCGCTGGCAGATCCGAGGCCGAAGCTCTAGGCCTCCAGCTGGGGGGAAGCCCTCTGACAGTTTTGTTGTTGGTAGCACTGTAACATTCGGGGGTGGACAGACCTCCTGCCCTGACACGTCGATTGGTGAATCGGCCGTCTTCGGTTCGCGAGGGGGCGTCGCGGCCGTCGTTTTTGCGGGTCCAGGTCCATCGGTTTCGGTCCCAGGCCGTTTTCACTAAGGAGAGGTCTACTAAAGGGAGGTTTGTCCAGCGCCGAAACATCGTTTTTCAGGATGGACGGGATGGAACTCCCTGGAGGCTGACTTTAGCATCGGCGCTGGCAGATCCGAGGCCGAAGCTCTAGGCCTCCCAGAGGGGATCGGGGCAGATGGGGTTCGAGGATCGCGCCGCATCGCCGATGCATCGCCGATGCATCGGCAATGCGGCTCGATGCCGAGCCTGATTTTCTCCACGTCGACCTCGCCGATGCATCGCCGACGTCGCCGATGCATCTGTGATACATCGGCAATGCGGTTGAATCCTCCGACCCCCTCTGCTCTGACCCCTATCTAAGAGGCCTCTTGAAACGTGGTCTCATCCGCCATAGTCTACGTTAATTCCGTTTGATCCCAGCCAATCGGGCTCAATGGGGTTGAACCCTGGGCTCAGTTGGGTTTGATCTGGCTTCATGGTCCCTTGATTCATTGGCTCACGCCGCACCGCCGACCCCTCGGGGCGGCAGGAAGTGTGGAAAACTGAATTTATGGAACGCGCGCGGTCTTTGGGGAATTTTGGGCTTTCAGCTTCTTTAGATTTCGTCGGGGCGGTTGGCGGATCGCGGCTCTGCTCTTGGGCTTTTCTGGGCTTATCTTGGGCTTTTCTGGGCTTAGTTTGGCTTGATTTGGTTTCATGGTCCATTGATTTGGTTCATCTCTCTTGCGAAGGCCTCCCAGCATGAGACCGTTATTTAATCGCTCATTCCGCCGGCCCTGGAGCGCTATTTGGGGCCTCTTTGGGCCGTCTTGGGGGCTTCTTGGGGGCTTCTTGGGAGCGTCTTGGGGCCTCTTGGGGGGCTCTTGGGGGCCCCTTGGGGCGGGGGGGGGGTAGTCGTTGGCGGCCCCCCCCTCGGAGGCCACGATCCTCGTGAGGGGTGGCGAAAATAGCCTCCCCCCTGGGGATCGCCCGGGGGTCAGCCGGGGATCGGCCGGGGTACTTTTCGTCCGGGGCCCCCCAGGGGCCGCCCCGCGCGCGCGAACTAGAGTATTGTCAAGTAGTTACCAGAGATCTTGGCACGCCTCTGGCCCGTTGGGCCGGCGAATTTTTGCCCCCTGGCAGCGACGAGCGTGACCGAGGGGGGGGAGGCGCGCCGTCTGGGAATGCTTAGGAGCGGCCACTTTCCACACGGCGCCAGCGCGACGCGTGACCCAGCGGGGGAGGAGGGGGGTGCAGGGCTGGTCACGAGAGTTATCGCGAATCAGACAGACACGACCTCCACCCTTGAAGGCTTCTTTTCCTACAGAGGTCGGGTGTCCCCTTTGTGAACTGCAACCGTCCAGCTTTCGCGCCGCAGACCGCTGGAAGCTGCCAAAAGACCGCCAGAAACTCCCAGAAAAAAAAAAACCATCGGCGATCGCCGAAGACGGAGCAGAGGTTCATGTTACTCCCATCGTACTTACGGACCACATCCCAGAAACAATTTCGAGTACCCAGAGAAGTGTCGAAACAGTGTCGAACAAGCGTCGCCTCGCAGGGACCGACGCGTGAAAACCTTCAAAGTTTGGTACTTTCTTGGTGCTCGAAAATCCTTTCTGGTGATCAAGGCTAAAGTAGGCTGGAGCATCACGAGCAGAGGTGAGCCACGTGGTACAGCTGGCCATCTCCCAGAAGCGGCTGCTGGGCTACCTCAACGGCGCCGTGGTGCCCTACGGGCGCTCGGGCTCCCGGGCGAAGGACTCCTGCCGCGGCGCCCGGGCCGCCGCCTTCTTGCAGCGGCGGGTGGGGGGGGGAGGGCTGGGGGGAGGGATTGGTCAGCGGGGAGGGATGGGAGGAGGAGGAGGAGGAGGAGGAGGAGGAGGAGGAGGAGGAGGAGGAGGAGGAGGTGGAGGAGGAGGAGGATGAGGATGAAGATGAGGATGAGGAGGAGGAGGAGGAGGAGGAGGAGGAGGAGGAGGAGGAGGAGGCGCAAGCAGGGCTGCAGGCGCGCGGGTCGGCGACGGGGGGTCCCGTTCCCGTGCGGTGCCGGCGCGTGCCGGCCGGCAGTTCGGGCGGCATGGGCTTCGTGTTTCGGAGGGTGCCTTCCCCGATGCGTGGACCTGGCGCCCACGCGCCAGAGCCACGGATTCCTGACCCATGTCTTCGTGCGCCCGAGGGGGCATGGCGCCGGAGAAGAGCAGAAATTGTACAGGCACGAGCTCTCGGCGACGGTGTCGACGACGGCGAGGATGAGGGCGAGAATGGCGGCGATGGCGGCGATGGCGGCGATGACAACGGCGGCGGCGCAACTGCCTTGCGTTGCATCTTTTGGGGACCTCGCCTGTCTCCAAAATTGGTGTCTTCTCTTGTGCCCGACGCGGGTTCGACACGGACTCGACACGGATCCGACGAGTCCGACGTGGATTCAACACGGATTCGAAGCCGAAAGGGCCGCGACGGGACAGGCGAGGTCCCCCGAGGATGCAACGTAAACGGCGGCGTCGCAACTGTCGACGACGGCCATGACGGCGGCGGCGACGGCGACGGCGACCACGATGCCGACCGGCGGCCATGAACCGGCGACGGCCGCGGCGATGACGGCGACGACGGCGGAGACGACGACGACGACGACGACGACGACGACGACGACGACGACGACGGCGACTACGGCGAGGACGACGGCGAGGACGGCGACGACGACGACGACGACGACGACGACGACGACGAGGACGACGAGGGCGACGACGGCGGCGGCGGCTGCGACTGGCGGCCACAGGGCGGCGATGTGCGCCCGCCCACAGGACCAGTGCGCCGCGTGCCAGAGGCCCCTTGCCGTGGCGCCGTGCGCTTCCGGGGACGAGGCGAGGGCTCGGCCCGAGCGGGTGTTTTGGCGAGCTCGTGGGCCTCTCTCGTTGAGGCTTACGTCGGGCCTGTCCCTCGACAGGAGGGATAGCCAAGAATAGTCGGAGAATAGTCAGGTGACTACTTTTTGAATGTTTTGTTGCTGTTCTGTCGCATTTTTAAAGTATGTTCTTATTTTTCGTCCAAAATCCTCCTGTCGGGGGACACGCCCGACTTCAGTTTAGGCTCATGATGCTCCAGCCTACTTTAGCCTAGACCACCAGGAAGAGTTTTGAGCACCAAGAAAGTACCGAACTCTGAGGGTTCTTATGTGTCGGGCCCTGGGGGGCGACTCTCGTTCGAGACTGTTTCGACATTTAGAGGGGGGTGCTCGACATTATTTCTGGGATGTGGTTCTTAAGTACGATGGGAGCAACATGCGCTTAGGCTTGGTTCTTCGGCGGCGGGCGAGGGGGGGAAACGAGAAGGAGAGGGCCTCCTCAGAAGGCCGTGGGGCTCCTCAGACGCCCTCGCGCCTTCAGAGGAGTTTTTGTTTGACTTCGTGGGTGGCTTAGGAAACTTCTCCGAAGGCTGGGGGACTTGGAAGCCTTCTGAGAAGGCCCGCACCTCCTCACTTTCCTCCCGAGCGCGCCGGCTAAGTGTGGCGAGTTCGTGTGGCGAGTTCGTGGGCCTCGTTTAGGCTTCGTTCTTCAGCAGATACGGAACGAAGACAGAACGGAGGAAATCGAAGAACACCACTGGCAGAAACATAAGCTTTTGGTGCTCCGCGCGGGTTTCTTCGATCGGCGCCTGCCCCCCCCCCACCCCCGGCGCCGCCACTGGCGATGTTCACACGCCGGTCTTTCAAAGTAGGTACTCCAAATCCCTTATCAATCGACCCCCTCTACAAATCCGGACCCCCCTCCAAATGCGACCTAATATTATGGACCCCCACTCTTCGACGGGGCGCCTTCATAAACTGGACCCCTAAGCTCCAATCCAACGAAAGCGCCCTAGTAAACCGGACCCCCCAGTTACGAAAAAGGCGCCTTGCAAACCGGACCTGGGGGACGATTACTGAAGGATTTGGAGTGTTTTCGGATTTCCAGATCACAATCTACTTTAGACCCCTTCCTGCTTAGTGTTCGCCTCTTCCCTCCTCTTCAGGGGGCGGGCGGAAGCACCGTCTAGTTACTTCCAGCGCCTTCCGACCTCACGGTTCTACCTACCTCTTCTGACCGACGGGTAGGCTTCGCTCTGCAGCAGAGACGGATCTAGGCCTCCCAGATGGGGTTCGAGAAGATGGGGTCGGAGGATCGGGCTGCATCGGCGATGCATCGGCGATGCATCGGCGATGCGGCTCGATGTGGAGGCTGATTTTCTCCACGCCGACGTCGCCGATGCATCGCCGACGTCGAAGATGCATCGCCGATGATTGCCGATGCATCGCCGATGCAGTGGCGATGCGGCTCGATCCTCCGACCACGTCTACTCCGACCCCATGTAGGAGGCCTCTAGTTTTGGTGAGTTCGTGGGCTGTTCTTGTTAAGGCTTCGTTCTGCAGCAGAGACATAATGAAGACAGGACGGAGGACATCTAAGAAGAACACCGGCAGAAACATACATTTTCGGCGCTCCGCGCGGATTTCTTGGATCGGCTCTTGGGCCCCCCCCTGCGGCGCCTCCGGCGTCGCCCCTGGCGCGCTCCGCGCGCCAGGGAGGGGGGTCCAGCGCATATCCAAGAAATCCGCGCAGAGCGCCACAAGTTTCTCTTTGTGCCGCTCATTCTTTTTCTTCTTCTTCTGTAAACGGTGTTTTGGCGAGTTCCTGGGCCGCTCTCGTTCAGGCCTCGTTCTGCAGCAGAGACGGAGGGAAGACAGTGATGGGCCTGTTTTCCACCACCACCACCATAAGTTGGAGGACCAACTTATGGTGGTGGTGTTTTGGAAAACAGACCCATCAGACAGAACGGAGGAGAACGCGAGGACGGAGCCAGGGCGAAAAGCACACCGCTCGGGTCGGGCCCTGGACGAGGCGAGGCTGGTGGAGTGGGAGGAGCTTCGCCGGTGCATGCAGGAGCCGCGCGCGGGGGAGGCGGGCAGCTATGTTTTAAGTAGGCTCTACTGGAGGAGTATATACAAGAACAGTGCAAACATAGTCGGGGGACGATCTTCCGATCATTTTGTTCGACAAGTCCAGAATATTATTTTGGACTATTTTTCATTGTCCTTCCCCAGTCCGCCTGTAGGAGGACATGCCCGACCTAACGCTATATGCACGTGCAGTGCGCCCAGGCCCTCCGGCGTCGTCAGTGTTGTGGCGCCCGTGGTGGTCGGCCTCGGGCCCCGGCCAGGGCCATGGCGAGCGCTTCCGGGACAGAGAGCTCAAGCAGTGGCGAAGCATCCTGGCTTGCCTATAGGCCCCTATAGGGAGCCGATACGTTTCAAGGAGATTTCGTATCGCACCGGCTGTGCGTCCTCAGCGGGCCGTTTCATTTCCAACATGCATCTATGATTTGCCAGGAGAAAAAAAGAAATTACCCTGGCGACGTAATTACCCAACCCTTGCGCACTGCGGGGCATGAGTAGCTCGGGCGATTTCATCAGGGGGTGATGACGAGACGTGGACGTATGTATTTCTGCGATCAGCATTTGGGAGGTCCTATTTGAGTCCGCCGCGGGGCCCCACGATGATGGCCCCCCTAGCAGGCCTCGAAAGTGGCGACAGGTTCGCATATCGCAGCCCCCCAGGGATGGCGAGGTCTAGTTTGAATCTGCGTAGGACGTTACTATGCTGGAACCCCTGGCAGGCTTCGAAAGTGGCGACAGTTTCACAGATCGCAGCCCCCCAGGGATGGCGAGGTCTCTTTTGAATCTGCGTAGGACGTTACAGTGCTGGACCCCCAGCAGGCCTCGAAAGTGGCGACAGTTCCACAGATCGCGGCCCCCCCAGTGATGGCGAGGTCTAATTTGAATCTGTGAACGACGTCACAGTGCTGGACCCCCCAGCAGGCCTCGAAAGTGGCGACAGTTCCATTGATCGCAGCCCCCCAGGGATGGCGAGGTCTGATTTGAATCTGCGAAGGACGTCACAGTGCTGGACCCCCCAGCAGGCCTCGAACGTGGCGACAGTTCCACAGATCGCAGCCCCCCCAGGGATGGCGAGGTCTAGTTTGAATCTGCGAGAGACGTCACTGTGCTGGACCCCCAGCAGGCCTCGAAAGTGGCGACAGTTTCACAGATCGCAGCCCCCCAGGGATGGCGAGGTCTAGTTTGAAGCTGCGTAGGACGTCTCTGTGTTGGACCCCCCCAGCAGGCCTCGAAAGTGGCGACAGTTTCACAGATCGTAGCCCCCCAGAAATGGCGAGGTCCGATTTGAATCTGCGTAGGACGTTACTGAGCTGGACCCCCCAGCAGGCCTCGAAAGCGGCGACAGTTCCACAGATCGCAGCCCCCCCAGGGATGGCGAGGTCTAGTTTGAATCTGCGAAGGACGTCGCAGTGCTGGAGCCCCCAGCAGGCCTCGAAAGCGGCGACAGTTTCACATATCGCAGCCTCCCAGGGATGGCGAGGTCTAGTTTAAATCTGCGTAGGACGTTTCTGTGTTGGATCCCCCAGCAGCCATCGACAGTGGCGACAGTTTCACATATCGTAGCCCCCCAAGGATGGCGAGGTTTGATTTGAATCTGCGTAGGATGTGACTGTGCTGGACCCCCCAGCAGCCCTCGAAAGTGGCGACGGTTTCACATATCGCAGCCCCATTGCAAAACAGGAGGAGGCGGGAGGGAGGCGGGAGGGAGGGAGGGAAGGAAGGACGGAAACCCCATTGCACTATTCAAAACGAATGCCCAGCCAAGGAGGGTTGGGAATGGATCTAATAACCTTTTGTGGTCTGCGCGGAATGCTCTGGGAACATTTACGGCTGAG